TCCAAACAGAAAGGAGGCTTTATAAGATACTCCTCATTCAAGGCCCCAAAGCTACAAAAACACACGTTCTCCCTGGAGTGCTGGAGAGTCGAAATTCTCACATGTGCACCATGCTGCACATTCTTCTCTGCTGATGGTCCTTTCCCACCATGCCCTGCCTCCATCCCTGAACGATGAGGTGTGCTGAGGCACGGATGACTCGTTCTTCATGCACCACACATACAGGCTCCGCCCCTGCATGGAACGGTGATGGGGGAAACTCCCATAGCTTAGAAGCCTTTGGCAGGGACCCATCCTCCCATCCACTGAAAGTGGGTTCCAGCCAAAGCCCACAGTTCCATTGCGATCGCCTTGTAAGGAACGGCAGGAGCACCTCCTTCCCTCAGCTGAGAAATTCTTCCCTTCTTTGTTTGTCATCCTTGTATATTTATTCCATTGTAAATTTCCTTACACTGCCTTCAGCATCTCAGTAAGAGATGAAGGCAATTACACATGTTAAAAAGTAATTGGTTAATTAATTAATCTAAGGGAGAAATAATGATTAACCAAACATTTTTCACTGGCCAACAGCCCTGCTGAAAATATGCTTAAGCACAAAGGCAATGGGGATCCATCCAACAGTGGGCTTTCTTTTGGTGATGCTCAGTGGACAATTAGTGTCCGAACTTTGCAGAACTGCTACCAGTTGCTATAGGCCAGGGCCAGGCAATCTTCGTGGTGCTGTTCCTTTAAGAAAATCAATATATCTCACATCTCCTCTCCCCTTGCTTCCCACCATTATGAGACTAAAGCATACAAAGAAAAGGCATTCTCTCCACTTGGGAGGCCTTTCAGTGCAGATCCAATGGGAGCCATACTTTCAAAGGACTTGCTGAAGAAGGGCAATCCAGGATGAAGAACCATGGGGTGAGGGCATGACATCAAAGAATGCAGTGGGAGTCCAGTGCAGCTCACAGGTTGCCCATCTCTGCTACGGGCAACAGGAAGCCAGTACCTTGGCCCAGTTATTCCCCCTGCCAAACTGACTTAAGAAGATGCTGTAACAGCACAGAGGTTGCAAAGAGAACCTTTTGCTGGTTTTGCTGAGGCCGACAACGCCAGGTTCCTTTTGGAGATTAAACCTCAGCACAAGCAAGTGTGTGGCCACTAGGCAAAGGGGCAGGCAAGGTAGATGTTATTACGGGAAGAGAATCAAGCAATCTTTGCCAAAACAAGTCAAACGTCATCCCTGCACTGAGAGCAGCCATTAAGGTAATATTTGCATACACTTTGTTTGGCTTTGGCTTTTGTAAAACCTTTCGCATTTAGTCAGGAAAAAGACAATAATTTCCATGCTCAATCCTCAGGAAGCACA